CTCTCTCGTCAGAACCTCTGGCAGGTTGTCCAGGTGGTCTGGAAAGGTGGCTCTTCACACGAATACGTCGTCCAAGTACACGAAGCACTTCGACTTGTATCGATTTTGCAGTATTTTTGCATAAAGCGTAGGCAGGTCGCTGTCTTGGTAGCCAAACCCATTGGTAACGTGTTGAACTTAAATAGTCCTGATGGCAGGGTAAAGGCGGTCTTGGCACGATCTTCCGGGCATACCTCAGTCTGCCAATAGCCCGAAGACAGATCGAGGGTTGTGGACAATTTCTTCCCGATCATAGAGGCTAGGAGCTCGTCCATATGGGAAGGGGGTAAGGAAGCTCTGATGGTGACTGCGTTCAGTCGCCTGTAATCGACGCAGAGCCGCAGAGAGTTGTCTTTCTTCTAAACTAGTATCAACAGAGATGCCCGTGGGGAGGAAGGCGGCTGAATGATCCCTTGGTGAAGCATATTCTCCACCAAGTTATTCAGTTTAGCCCTGAAATGAAACGGTATCCGTCGAGGCGGGAGGTGTTGCGGAGCAGCGGTACCGGTGTTTATTCGATGATGAACGCTGCTGGCCCGTCCAATAGCCTGGCCTGCCCACGTAAAAACGGAGTTGAATTGCACCAACGTATGTTAAAGGGCCCGACGGTCAGCCATCAGCATGTTGTCTGGCATAATGTCTTCGATTGAAGACGGATCGATGGGTGGGTATGTAGACTTCCACACTGTTTACCTCCGTCATACCCTTGTTTTCTTCGTGGAGAATGGGAGACTGGGATGTGAGGGGAGAGTACTGGTTTTAGCGTGTCGTTTAAGGAAATCATACCTGAGAATAACGTTCCATTTGAGTTCGGCTGACACATTGAAGTCGTCTCGTATCGTATTGTCTTTGATGGAGAACGGCACTATGGCTGATCCGTGAAGGTGAAGGGGAGAATTGTTGGCGGTGAGGATCCGCAGTTGGGGACATTCTGAGTGGTCGTATTGCGCACCATGAAGGAGACTCTCGCGTATGAGGGAGAAGGCTGCCCTTTGTCTACTAAAATGCTGACCTCCTTATCATCTACCTTGCCCAAGACTGTTAATGGTTTGAAGTCGGAGGAAAGTGTAAGTACGGCTGCATTGTGGCCACAGGTTCTGGTGGCTTTGCCGTACCGCATGCGATAGCAGCAATCCGCGGTCTGTCGAACGGCTGGAGCTCTCGGTGGCTGTTTGTTAAAGTTGCGGTTACCATAGGGCGGTCGTGATGGACCCGGTAGGACTAGCGGGTGCCTCCATGTAGTTGGTGGTATGACCGCTCGTTGTTCCTGTGGCAGGGGAAATTGGGTGCGTCATGTCTCATCCAGCCCGAAAGCCGCCTCTGGGTTGGCCGCCGGATGGCTCTTGCAAATAAATGCCGGTTCGCGATCACTTAGCTGCTGATCAGG